GTGCAGTCGGGTGCATTGAGGGGCTTGCTGCTCGAGTTCGCTGACGTGTTTAGCAGGCACAAGTATGATATTGGCTGCACAGACCTGTTGCGCCACCACATAGCTACTGGGGACGCGGCCCCTATTCGACAGAATCCCTTCCGGCTCAGTCCAGCCGAGAAGGAGCATGTGCAGTCGGCAGTTAATGACATGTTGGCGGCCGACATCATTGCGCCCTCTTCCAGTCCGTGGGGTGCTCCTATCGTCTTGGTTAAAAAACAGGATGGGTCCTTGCGGTTCTGTGTCGATTTCCGCCGCCTAAACAAAATCTCAATGGCCGATGCGTATCCGCTCCCCAGGATGGATGAGTCTCTGGATGCCTTGGCGGGAGCACAGTTTTTTTCGACGCTCGATTTGCTTTCGGGATTTTGGCAATTACCCCTCGATGACGAATCTAAACCAAAAACCGCTTTCCGGACACCGGGAGGCCTATTTGAATTCAACCGATTACCCATGGGTTTACATTCCGCTCCTGCCACGTTCCAGAGGCTCATGGAATTGGTTTTGTCAGGCCTCCAATGGGACACCTGTTTGATTTACCTCGATGATATCATCGTTTTCAGCCGGACTTTTGAGGAGCACCTCCAGCGACTGAGAGCGGTGTTTCTCAGGATGCGTTCCGCTAAGCTTAAATTTAAACCGGCTAAATGTTTTCTGCTTCGGGAATCGGTCAGGTATTTGGGCCATATCGTTAGCCGTTCAGGGATCTCGACAGACCCTGCTAAGACGAAATGCGTCAGCTCATGGCCAACGCCGACCTCTGTCACTGAAGTCCGCAGTTTCATAGGATTCGCCTCCTATTACCGTCGTTTTGTCAAGCAGTTTGCCACCATAGCCAGGCCCCTGCACGCTTTGACGGCTAAAGGGGTGCGGTTTCACTGGGGGTCGGAAGAGGAGGCCGCGTTCTGCTCCCTTCGTGACGCCTTGGTGCAGGCTCCCCCCTTGTGTTACCCCGATTTCACGCAACCGTTTGTGCTCGACACGGATGCCAGTAACACGGGTATCGGGGGAGTGCTCTCACAGGTGGTCGGGGGGGTCGAACGGGTGGTCGCCTACGGTAGCAGGGTTCTGTCCCCCGCGGAACAACGCTACTGCGTGACACATCGTGAATTGCTGGCGATTGTGTTTTTTATACAGCAATTCAGGCCGTATCTTTATGGCCGTCATTTTACGGTTCGCACGGACCATGCGGCTCTCCAATACGCTATGCGGGTGGCGCAGCCATCCGGCCAATTGTCCCGATGGTTGGAGGTCCTTCAGGACTACCAATTCACGACGATTTACCGCAAGGGGTTGCGCCACTCGAATGCGGATGCATTGTCGCGGTTGCCGCCGCGTACGGAATGCGCATGTCTGTTAGGATCGGCGCGGTGTAAACCCTCTGTCGCTGTCCCCGCGGAAGTTGTGCTCGCCGCCACGGATACTACGGGGGCCGACGCTCCCACGGGGAGGGACTCGCTGTTAGCGTTGCCTCTCATCGAGTGGGGCCGTCTGCAAATGTCCGACAGCTCCCTACTCACGCTACGTCGGAAGGTTGACGATCCCGAGGGAGGGGAAACGCGGGTCGGTTCCTGGGTGTGCAGACAGGGCCTTTTGATGAGGTGGGACAACATGTCCCGGCGTCACGTGCTCGTGGTGCCGTTTGCTATGCGGGGTAGGGTCGTCCTGGCTGCCCATGAACGACTCATGCACCTGGGGTTTCACAAAACGCTCGCCCTCATTCAGCGAGACTACTATTGGCCGGGGATGGGCAACGACGTGGCGAACATTCTTAAGGGATGTGTAGGGTGCGCCCAAAGAAAACCACCACCAATAGCGGCTAATCCACCGCTGCAATCCATTCAGGTTTCGCGCACGAACGAATTGGTCGCGCTGGACATCTTGGGGCCCTTTCCCGCTACGCCTCGGGGAAATAAGTTCCTGCTGGTTGGCGTAGAGTACTTCACTCGCTGGCCCATGGCATGGCCACTCGCCAACCAGTCGGCTGCGGCAGTGGCGGACGCCTTTGTCCAAGGTTATGTTTTGGACAAAGGCGCCCCCGAACGCTTGCTGACGGATCAAGGGAAACATTTTTCGAGTGTTTTGTTGCGCGAGGTGTGCGACCTGTTGGGTACAAAGAAAGTACGTACCTCCCCGTACCACCCGCAGACTGACGGTATGGTTGAACGTCTGAACAGGACGATTACGTCTATGCTGTGCCAACAGGTATGCGATGACCAGGTGGATTGGGACTTACAGGTACCGGGGGTACTAGCGGCCTATCGGATGGCACCTCATGCGGCGACGGGGTTTTCTCCATTTTTTCTGATGTATGGGCGGGAGGCCGATCCGGCCATGGACGTCCAACTGGGGATTTCCCAGCCACGTGCAAAATCTAAATTGGCAGACCATATCAAGTTTAACATCGCCAAATTGGCTGAAGCGCGAGAGGCTGCGAGATTTAATTCGCGGTCTCGGCAGATCGCGAACGAGCGATTGCATGGACGGAAGGTGCATACGCACAATTGGGAACCGGGCGATAAGGCCTGGCTGCATTGTCCACACGCACCGTTGGCTACGTCCCCCAAACTGTTGAGACCATGGAGGGGACCGGTGGAAATTGTGCGGGTTGCACGACCCCAGAGTATACAGATTAAATGGGGAAAACGCCGTTGGTACGTGCACCCCTCCCGACTGAAACCCTACGCGGCGCCGCGTGACCCCGGGTTGTGCCGTGACGACCGAGCGTGTGATGTGACCGTCGACTCGGGGAGGGATGTGTCGCAGGCTGATCCTCACGTGTCTCCACCTGACCCACCCCCAGGTGTCTCGGACCTGACGGCTGTTGACCGTCGGGAACCGGAACCCCGCGGCTCGCGCGGAGCCCCGATGCCTGGCCCATGCCTTCCTGAACTGCCGGCGCCACCGGATGGCCAACTGCGTCTGGTGCCGTTTGACGAACCGGCAAGGCGGACTCGGGCTAGGACGCAACACTTTTCATGAAAAAGAAAAAGAAAAGATAATTTTCCTTTTTTTGTTTAAAGCCCGACCTCGCTGCCGGGGTCCCCCTCTGCCGGGGTAATGTCCCGTTCAAGGGACGCTCGGACACATTGGGACGCTGCACGAGTCGGAGAGAAAAGAAGAGAAAATGAAAAATATTTTTTTTTGTTTTTTTTTATTGTTACTCTTTCCGCATACACATTATCGTTGCCACTCGCCGGATTGCGCATATTGTTCTTGTTGTGGGCGTGGCGGTTGCTGGGTTTTGCGGATTGCGGTGTTCATGTTGTGTTGTTAGGGTTTTGTTGTTATGTTACGGGGCACACATAGGGGTGAAGGGGTGTTGTATATTTTATTAGCAGCCGGGTCGGCTGCGAGCTATGTGGTAGGGGGTGATGTAGTGGTGGTATTGACGTGCGCCGACAGTGATGGATCACGGGGCGCGGGGTTGGGCACGCGATGTGGGCGTGGTATGGACGCGCGCGCGGGTGGTAAGGCGCGCTGACACAAGCTGGGAAAAGAGGATCGTAGCGAGTGCGCAGTGATTGGTCAGATAAGTGGGTGCTCTCAGCGACGTCCGCAGGAGGGGTATAAAGGGAGACGCGCGAGAGCACTCGTGGTCAGTGTTAACCAGTTGAAGACCGAAGACGGGGTGGAGGAGGTAGTGGCCCGAGACCCCTAGTCCCGCCGTCCTTGTGAGGACCGGGGCCCTGTGTGGCTCGGAGCCGAGACTGGGGGACCGGTAGTCCGACGCCCGTGTGGGTCGGGACGGTGGTACCCAGAGCCGAGACGGGCACCCCCGGCTGGGTGTGTCCCGGAAGGCTACGGGGCGTAAGAGCCCGTGTCAGTATAGCTGAGTGGGTGTCTGTCACCCGTGTAGCTGAGTGGGTGTGAGTCACCCGAGTAGCTAAGTGGGTGTCAGTCACCCGTGCAACGAAGTGGGTGTTAGTCACCCGTGTAGCTGAGTGGGTGTGGGTCACCCGAGTAGCTAAGTGGGTGTCAGTCACCCGTGCAACGAAGTGGGTGTTAGTCACCCGTGTAGCTGAGTGGGTGTGAGTCACCCGAGTAACGAAGTGGGTGTTAGTCACCCGTGTAACGAAGTGGGTGTTAGTCATCCGTGTAACTACAAGTTGGTGAAAATAAAGAGTGTGCTACCCGTGAAGTCGTCTCCTGCCGAGTTACTACTTTACACATGCGATGGAGTGGGGAGCGGTGGCGCATCGGTTGGCACACTGCGCTACGAACCCGGAAAGTTGTATCTGGTGCAGTCCTGGGCCTCCCCTAGGTTGACTTCGGCCTCAAACAAGTAGCTGGTGCAGTGTGCGGACACCATCACTCGGGAGACAATAGAAGTCAGGTGTGGTGCTCGCCGCACCACAACCTCATGTGCCATTCCGGCCTGAATGGGTGCTTGCTAACAGATTGCTCGGGCGAGTCCTGCTTGCAAACAAAACTCGCTCTCACAATCTCTAGAGAAGAGGATGAGTTTCGGATTGAAACATTTCACATGTTTCAGGACAATTTCCGAGTTTCATATGCGTTACAGTGCGTGCTATATTGGCCACGGGACACAACGTATTGTTGGGAAATCGTGATTCCCAATCAACCCGTAACATCAGCGGAACGTTCGGGTTGTCCGCGATATCGGTCTGACTTTTTGGAATTTTCAGATCAAAAATCTCGTGAACACAGCTTTGTAGCGGTTAGCGTGCTGCGCTACGAAACCGAGTTTGATCCCAGCTCACGGCCAACACCAGTGACGATTATCTCAACCGGTCCTGAGCCTCGCCTAGGTCGATTTAGCCTACAATTAGAACTTGGTTTGGTGTGTAAACATCGCCACTAGGGAGACAAAGGCGGCTGGGCGTGGTACTGGCCACCCACCTGCTTGTGTGCCATGTCGGCCTTCATAGGTGCTCTTCGCTAACAGCACTTGCCCCAACAGTCTGTTAAGGCTACACGGGGGGTCTTTGTCTTTGCAGTCACGTAGAGCTCAGGAAGTCCGTCAAAGGGCAGCAGAAGCAGGTCCCCGCGTTGCCACGGCGACCTGGCTTCATGGTAACGGAAGAGCGCATCTCCACCGGCAAGGTGAGGTCAAGGATCACAGGGTTACAGATATCAATCTCCCTGTACATTGCTGCTGTACTCGCTCATCACCATGCATCTCCCGTGTAAAATATCCGGGCAAGTGGCTAAACGGCATCGTCCGTGTAAATTACTTTGCCGAGATCACACAAATTCGATTTCTCCTGAACCTGCTCAAGAACATAATTTCTCTGTCTCTCCATTCACATGACACCACGAGTTTTATTATTTTCCATTTGACACCGTCGCTCAAGACGTTCCAATCTCCTCGCCTTCCTTGCTCAGAGGCTAGGTTTCCGCCACACACAACTCCACACTTGGGTCTTCACCAGTCTCACCTTCGCGTGTGGCGGATGGCAATCTTTACGTTTTATGTCCGTCAATTCGCAGGACTTCTTACAGGAATTCCTCACCAGCCTACTCAAGCAGCCGATCTACATGAATCATCCAGCTACTGTGAGTACCCAAAGACAAAGTTTCCCCGTATAACCTGAGCAGACTGTTAGGGTGAGTTCCATTAGCGAGTACCTATGAAGGCCTTCCTGTAACGCGAGCGGGTGGATGGCCAGCACCGCGCTCGGCCGCCTTTGTTTCCCAAGTGGCGACGTTTACACATCGCATCACGTACTCATTTACAGAGGTGGGACAAAGTCATTGTTATGCAAGTCCAAGTCGAGTCTGAAGTCATCAAATTCATGACTCGAGTCTGACTCGAGTCCAAGTCACATGACTCGAGTCCACACCTCAGAGGTGGGACAAAGTCATTGTTATGCAAGTCCAAGTCGAGTCTGAAGTCATCAAATTCATGACTCGAGTCTGGCTCGAGTCCAAGTCACATGACTCGAGTCCACACCTCTGCTCATTTAAGACTGAGTCGACCTCGGGTAGTCCCAGGACTGGTTCAACTAAAGTGTCGCTGGTTTGAAAAATAAGAATAGGTTTTAAAATTTCTGGCAATAAAACAGGGTGTTAAGATGTTCAAACACCTAATAGAAACCTTTTGCAAGGAATCGTGTCTGTATTAACCACACGTACTTGCGGTGAACATGCAAACAAACATGCTCTGATAATTATATATGGCCATTATCTTTTAAACTGATTGGCCTACATCAGAGACAACCTTCTTTATGGCCTAGTCTCACCAGTGTCAGAGCAGAGAACGCCAAAAGGTGAACAGCACAAAGACAATGCCACACGTATCAGAGCATTTATAACTCGGGATGAGCAGCTATATCATGGGACCTTTTTGCCAGCATCAAACTTCAAAGTATGAAAAATAAGAATGGGTTTTACCCTTTCTGGCAATAAAACATGATAGCTATGTCCCTGGTTTGTTTGCCTTGGTGAAACAAAAAAAAACGTTACAACAGCGCATCAATCATTGCAGACACAGGAAAACAACCTTCAAGTTGTGCACCATTCAAACAACATCGGCAGGTACTGCACATCAAAGCTGAAGCACCAAGTCCTTTAACCACATGGGCAGCGATGCAGTGCATTTTCACAGGTGTAAAAAAGGGATATCTTAAATAAAGGAGGGAATAAAAAAAAATCTAATTAGAAATTCTGACTCCTGCGAAGGGCTTTTCAGCAGTTTAACACGTAGGCTTTCGCGACCAATGTTATTCATAATCAACGTTTTTGGGTTTAGATCGCGTTATTTATAAATGTGTCGTAACCCTCCACCCGACACGGCCAATCAATAAAAAAGTGTCACGTTGACAAAGACAAATAGTTCACTGCTTTAGCCCACCGGTGTGTTGAAGCCACAACATTTACAATTTAAGTACGACGTTTCGCTGGTAATTGCAATCAGCATCATCGGGCAATTCGCCAGAATGGTGAGGTTCTCCTGTGTCTCCCGTTCTTATATAGAGCAGCAGCAGGGTGACGTCATCATTAACTCATTAACTCATCAGGTGCCAAGATTCAAGGGGGGAGTGATTGTAATTATATACTAGATTAGTAATCAGGCTATTGTTACGATGCGAGTTGTAGATTAGTAATCATTTGGAATGTGTTTTATTGTGATTATGCTACATTAGTAATCAGTTAGTGGTTGTTTCCCTTATAAGTAATTGTAATGTATCTTATTTAATAATACGCTTCCAGGCCGCACTAAGCCTGTAGCTGTCTGAGCGATTAAAGTTATTTATGTTTCTCTCAATTTCAATCGATTCTCTAATTAGTCTTTGCCAGTAGTAACTAGTTTTACACAACACTTCCACGTTGTCAAAATCAATTGAGTGTCCCTGTTGGCATGCATGTTCTGCTACTGCCGACAGTTGTGTTTGTGATAGTTTAATATTTCTCTGGTGTTCTTTTAGTCTTACACTAACGTTACGCCCTGTCTGTGGATATTTTACTTGGGCATGGCCCAAACGGTAAAATAACACACAGCGTTTACAGAAAGCCAACGCACACTGATGCCTATCTGAATGCAGATTCGCATCATCACCCAGCTCAGAAATCCTCTCTTATCAAGACGCTCATACATCGGGCTAAAACAGTGTCAGATGGTGAAAGTCTAGTGAGAGAGATTAAACATGTTAAAGAAGCACTAAGACAGAATGGCTACAATAATGCTCAAATTAACAGAGCACTAAAAGCCAAATCACGATCGCAAAGCAACACTGCTGAAAGCGATAAGATTATTAAAACAATAAAAATACCATTTATCTCAGGAGTAACTGATAAATTAGCCCGTGTTTTGCAAAAGCAAAACATTACAGTAAGATTTGGAACAGTACACAAAATTCAACAACTAGTAACGTGCACTAAAGACGAATTACCTAAATTATCAACAGAAGGTGTATATCGGATTAATTGTGTATGTAGCAGATGCTATATTGGACAGACAGGGCGTAACGTTAGTGTAAGACTAAAAGAACACCAGAGAAATATTAAACTATCACAAACACAACTGTCGGCAGTAGCAGAACATGCATGCCAACAGGGACACTCAATTGATTTTGACAACGTGGAAGTGTTGTGTAAAACTAGTTACTACTGGCAAAGACTAATTAGAGAATCGATTGAAATTGAGAGAAACAGAAATCACTTTAATCGCTCAGACAGCTACAGGCTTAGTGCGGCCTGGAAGCGTATTATTAAATAAGATACATTACAATTACTTATAAGGGAAACAACCACTAACTGATTACTAATGTAGCATAATCACAATAAAACACATTCCAAATGATTACTAATCTACAACTCGCATCGTAACAATAGCCTGATTACTAATCTAGTATATAATTACAATCACTCCCCCCTTGAATCTTGACACCTGATGAGTTAATGAGTTAATGATGACGTCACCCTGCTGCTGCTCTATATAAGAATGGGAGACACAGGAGAACCTCACCATTCTGGCGAATTGCCCGATGATGCTGGTTGCAATTACCAGCGAAACGTCGTACTCAAATTGTAAATGTTGTGGCTTCAACACACCGGTGGGCTAAAGCAGTGAACTATTTGGCTTTTCAGCACTTTACGCCTGGCCCGTCGCCCCCACTTATGTCCTCTTCTTCCCTCCCCAATGTGTGCAGATTCTACTAACTATTGTATGTAGGGTGTGTAGGCATGTATGCCTACAAAATCTGTTTCATTTTTAAAGGGGAGAGAGTGATTTTATTTGGTTGGGAGGGGGGTCGCCAATTTTTGGAACCCTGTTGGATCAACTTTTTACTCCCATATCTGGGGGGGGGGGGGTTCCACTTGCTTTAACTTTCTGATGCAGGCCTTCTGAAAGGCTCTTGTAATTTAGTTGACGGACAAACAAACTTCCGGGCTTTTATAATAGCCCAGGGCAGGGAAGGGATTTAAAGCCAAACCCACAAGAGTGAGCTCGTTCCAAAACGTGTTTTGTGCAGAAGTCGCAATCGGGTACCCAATACACGTACCCTACCTGATACCCGGCTACCCGTACCCAGCCGGGTATCGGGTAGGGTACCCGTTTGCGACCCTGGTGCGGCCGGGTACGGGTACGGGTAAGGAATCAAAACCCGTTTGCGACCTCTGGTTTGGTGCTGTGACCGCTGCCGCTCAGATGGAGTTCCTGGAAGTCAGCGAGCTCTCGTTCATCCGCGACCTGGGCTCCAAGGGAGTGTGAGTTCTGCTTCTCCAACGTTTCCCTTGGACTTTCCACGAAGTTACCGAAGCAACCCAAAATAACTGATCAAACGTGAAATGCCATTGAAATAATAAAATAATACCTTTGATATATTAAGGGGGATTTTGCACTGCCAGAGAGACCAATCAATGCTGGTAGAAATGTGACGTACAAATACGTTCATGTGAATAGTTCTGAGCCTACACGGTCAACGCATACATGCACAATCCTTGTGCGATCAAACTTTAGCGTCAACCAGTGTGAGGTTACGCTCTAATCGATTATAAGGCTCCACTTCTGCCCTCGAGGCACAAGGTTCCCCACCCTTGCCCTATTCCCTGCCCTTGCTTCCTCTTCGCTTCAGTAATTTTATTTTAAATTGTCATTCTCATTGATAAAAAAATAAACCGATCATATTTTATTTTTTTGCGGTGTATGTATGGCAAGCAGCGTCGTTCATGCAAATGACATCTCGCGATGTTGCTGTAGAATTTGCGATGAACCACAGACAAGCGGAAAGGCGACCAGAACCGTCGCTAACGTTTGCCCAAGCTCTGCGGTCCTTTTGTCAGGATGCGTTGTTATTTTCGGTAGCTTCAGGAAAAAAAAAGTACAACAACAACAACTGACACGTGGGAACGGAACGAGCTTCTGACGTTTGCGGCCGCGTGCTCCGCAGGGAGGGGACCGTGGTGAAGCGCTCCGGGGGCCACCGCATCCCGGGCCTCCACTGCTGCGGCTACCACAAGGCGTGCTACCGCTGGGCCAGGCGGTGAGCGCGCGTGGGCGCGTGGGAGATGGGGTTAGCGGTGGTGTGGCGGTTAGCGCGCTGCGCCACCAACCTGATGGGTGACCCGGGTTCATTTCCCGCTCACGGCCAACACCGGTGACGATTATCTGAACCGGTTCTGGGCCTCCCCTCGGTCGACTCGGCCTCAAATGAGTACCTGGTGCGATGTGTAAACATTGCCACTGGGGAGAAAAAGGCGGCCGGGCGTGGTGTTGGCCAACCACCCCCTCGTGTGCTGTTCCAGCTTTCATAGGTGCTCGCTAACAACACTTGCCCCTATAGTTTAAGGCTATACAGGGGATTTTTGTTTATATTTTTTTATGGGGTTGGCACACGCTGCGCTACGAGCCCGACAGCCCGAGGCTTGATTTGGCTAATATCGGCACGAATGCCTGAACCGGGTCTGGGCCTCCGCTAAGTCGACTCAGACTTAATTTACCACCGTGGCGTGGCGTGTGTAACGCATCGGGGAAATGAAGGTGGCCGGGCGTAGTGCTGATCACCCCACCCCCTTGTGTGCCGTGCCGGCCTTCCACAAGTGGCGGATCGCCAACATCACTTTCCCCCTGACCGTTTGTTGGAGGCTATTCAGGGGATCTTTTTCTTGTCTTCGTGTGCTTTTTGCGGCACAAGATGGCTGGTAGTGAAGGACTCGTTCGTGCTGTACCAGCGGCCCGAGGACGGCAGCGTGGCGTCCGTGCTGCTGTACGACCGCGGCTTCTGCGTGAAGTTGGCCGCCGCAGCCGCCCGCGTGGACGTGCGCCACGGCCTCGTGCTGAAGAACCTTTCCAGGTGAGTCCAGCGGACGCGGAGACCCGCGGCGACGCCACTGACGGCAATGAGACTCGATGTCAGCTGTGAACATTGTTACAGCTGCGAACGACGACGATGGTGATGGCGAGGATGATGATGACGACGACGATGATAACGATGATGACGACGACGACGGTGATGGCGGCTATGAAAAGGATGATGATGACAAAGATGACGACGACGATGATGAAGATGACAATGGTGATGAAGCTGACGATGAAAACGACGACGGCAATGATAACGATGTCAGCCGTGAAAATTATGACAATAACGATAATGATGACGGCGACGACGTCGACGATGGTAACGATGAAAGTGATGGGGACGACGACGATGACACCGATGCCGTCGCGCGTGCCTCGGTCTCGCGCAGGTCCCTGACCGTGCAATTCCCCACGTTCAGGCAGGCCAACTCGTGGGCTTGCTCCATCGGGGAGTTTGCGTGGAAGCACGGCAAGGACTTCCTCTCCGACAACCGCTTTGACTCCTTCACCCCGGTCCGCGAGGGAACCCTTGCCAACTGGTATCCGAATCGACATCGGAGTCTGTTGTTTTGTACTGCAAGAGGAATCCGATGAGCTATAAAAGCTCCTTTTCACTGATTTCCAGTAGGGACATGGGGTCAGAACGCTACAACAACAAGCAATGTGACAATTCGATAGGAGTCCAAAGTATAGGAAAGATACGCAAATAACTTTAAAAAATATACAAATAAAACGAAACTATGTTTAATCTTACCAGATAAAGCCCTATCCCCTTCTTTTTCACAAGTGATAGCTCAACGAAGTGGCTTATCATCACGTGGAATATGTTTAGCAGCAAAATAATCTAAATGATGCACGGTCGTGTCGGAGCACCGCTGTGTTTGATTTAAAGCAGCCACCAAGGCTGACTCTGCGTTGTTGTTGTTGTGGGAGGTGACCAAGTAAGTGGCTTAGTGGTCAGAGGGCTCGGCTAGCAGCACTGAAACTCTGGGCTTGAGGTCAGAGCCACCCATGTTTAAACCGGGTTCTCTAGCGGAGTGAATTAATCGTCTCGGCTCAAAAACCCCATCGTATTAGATTGTGGTTTCCAATTATTTTGGTAAAATTTCAGCTCAATATGAAAAAAATTCAGGTTGCCATGAGACACTTCTTGAATTGTCTTCAATGCTGGCCACATCACGGACTTCTCATTTTATAATAATAACCATTACTACAGCCCTGTCTCACAACCTCTGCTGGATGAAGGCCTTTCTACGCTCTCTCAGTGTTTGAGGTTGGTGACCATATTTCACCACACTGGTCATTGTGGGTTGCTGAAGGTGGGTGCTGGGGGTTGCTCGGACACGGTTCAGATATAACCTGCCACTGATGTTAGCCGTGGCAATGTTTTTTTTACTCTGGTCGCCGGGTTCATAGCGTAGTGTGCTAGCCACCTCACCCGCAGCTCCACTTCAGGGTGTCACTGAGGATTTGCTTTGATGTAGGGCACTTGCTGCAACGCCTCAGCAACTCAAAAGCACCTTACATCCTGCCTCACCTCAACCGTCTCAGTGCCCAGCTACAATCTCAGAATCTGTATTTATACTGCAGGAATCCGGCGAGCTGTAAAGCTATTTTTCACAGCTGTCAAATAAGACTTGCTGAGGGGAGCTCGGACACGTGCTCCCTTCGCCCGTCGCCGCAGGTTCAAACCGCGTAAAACTTTGGGGGTCATGTCCGGCATGGCCGCTGTCGCGCAGGTTCGTGAACGCCGCCGGGTATTTTGACGCCGTGGCAGTTGCGTTGGAGGCAGCGACGGAAGAAATCTTCATCTGCGACTGGTGGTGGGAGGCGCGGGCAACCGGTCACACACACACACACGCGCTCACAGCCTACGTGCTCTGTTGGGGAAACTGCTATTAGCGAGCGCCTATGATGGTTGGCACGGCGCACCAATGGGGTGGTGTGGCTAGCACAACGCCCCGCCACATTTGTCTCCCCAGTGCCGATGTTTTTATTAGACACCGCACCAGGGTCCTAACTTAAGGTTAAGTCGACCGAGACAATGCCCAGGACTGGTTCGTATACATGCCACTTTCGTTACTCACTGGCCGAGAATTAAACCGCGGCCTGCCGGGTTTGCAGCGCAGCACGCTAAGTCGCTAACCACCACTCTACTCACATTTGCACAACTGTGAGTGGTTTGTTACGATTCCTGACGACGCTCTTTGTCTTTGCCGTGCAGCTACTCGCTTCAGGTGTGGACAAAGCGGTTGGCGGGCGACGATTAGGTTGCGTGATTTCGAAAGGAGCGATGCGCTTGTGCTTAGCGGTCGCTCAGGTATGGACCTGGCCTGAGAAAGGCGCGAACACCACATTTGACTGATGACTGGATAATGTCGGGATTTGGTTGCCTCTCATGCAGGCTAAGCCCGGAGATTTTCCTGCGGAGGCCGATTGTGGATGGGAACACGTGGCGCCTGGACTGCATTCTCAAGCGCAAGGCGGTACATTGATCATAGATCGTCGCATTGACATCCTCGTTAGAATCACACGGATCATACCTTGGATTGGTGTTCCCTCATTTGAATGGTTTTCTCTTTTTTCCTCCCCAGTTTCGTTACAGTTGTGCAGCTCGTAGTGCATCACCGCATCTTAGACAATGGCCCACTGAAGGGGGTTTCACAGAACTACTTCTGAAGTCCCTTAGATGGGCGCTGCAATTTCCCACGTGCCCAGCTGTAGTTTGTCGCGTGGCAGTCATGCTGATATTTTTACATTTTCAGCACTGAAATTTTGCCGCACGAATAGAGACCCCATATTTAACACAACAATTTTGCGTGTGCTGAGACTCTTTATTGAATCAATTAAATTCAATTGATGTCTCGTTGCTCCCCACACGCAAACTAAATTTAACCAAAAAGTAGCAAATCCTCAATCAAACTTTCAATACAGAATCAAGCCAAGTCATCAATCGCCTGGGAGGTAAATCATAACCCTCTACGGTGGTGATGCTGGCGGTGGTGATGGTGGTGCTGTTGGTGGAGGTGGTGGTGGCGGTGTTGTTGATGATGTTGGTGGTTGTGGAGGTGCTGACGGTGGTGATGGTAGCGGTGGTACTGGTGGTGGTGGCGATGGAGGTGGTGGCGGTGTTGTTGTTGATAATAGTGGTGCTGGTGTCTCACACAGGAGCAGGGAGTGCGAATCTTCGTGCTTCTCTACAAGGAAGTGGAACTCGCTCTGGGCATTAATAGTGGCTACACCAAGAAAACGCTCATGGATCTCCACCCCAACATCAAGGCAAGACCCCCACACCTTGCGCTCCTGAGTGATTGGTGATCAGTAAAATAGCTCGAGGAAGCGGACATCACAGAACTACCTTTGAGATTCCTTCAAGTTGCCTCAGGTGCACAAAGTAGGGGGCAGCCTTTTTTCACCTGCCCTGTAACAGTAATGCTTGCTGCATGGCAGAAAAAAAATATATTTATCATTCTCAGAGCTACAATTTAGCCAAAAATTCAGAGCAAAAACAAATTAAATAGAAGGTTTTTGTGTGTGCATTCATTGGTGATCGGGATGAGACCACCAACTAATTGCACAATATTTGTGACTCTATGGATGACTGTGTAAGTCTATGGCCTCTATGTGAGTCTACGGGTTTGTATGCGAGTGCAGGGGCCCTGAGGCAAATTATGACGTCTCATTGATGCGAGCATGTCATGGTGTGGCTCCGGCTGGACTCGGCAACTAGCCATTGAAAAAAAATCACCTGTGCTGTGAAGACGCTGCACCTGTGCTGTGAAGACTCTGCACCTGTGCTGTGAAGACTCTGCACTGGCTCGGCCCATTTAGAAACATCACATACTTGGCTGATGTAAATTTCCACGTGATAAGCCACTTCGTTGAGCTGTCATTTGTGGCCAATGTCCCTTCTGAAAAAGAAGCTAATAGCTCAGTGGGCTTTACCTGATTTAAAAGAAAAATTGTATTTTTTTAAAGTCATTTGTTTACCTTTACTATACTTTGAACTCTTATCATGTTTTTTGTATTGTTTTTTGTTGTTGTAATGTTCTGACCCGCCCATGAAAAATAGCTTTATAGCTCATCGAATTCCTCTAGTATAAATAAATATTCTGATTTTGATGTTAGAGAACAATTTTTTTTTTATTCCGAAGGCCACCTCCGCAATTATCCTCGCGCTAAACTAGCTCTCAGAACCGGCAACTCACCGCAGCGCCATGACCCAGCCGGTGAAACCCGCCATCCCCACGGTGCGGCCGCAGGTGATGAGGCACCCGGACCACATGTCGTCCACGGTGCTGTTCTGGGCGCACCACGAGAAGCTGGTGGTGGTGGACCAGTCGCTGGCGCTGCTGGGCGGCATCGACCTGGCGTACGGGCGCTGGGACGACGAGCGGCACCGTCTCACGGACGTGGGCGACGTGCGCCGGACACCCCAACGCAGCCCCTCGCTCTCGCGTCGCGAGTCGTCGGTGAGCGGGCGGAGGGGCCATTAGGGATGGGGCGTACAGGTGAGGGGGGTGTGGGCGGTACGGCGAGAGTATACAGGTGAGTGGGTGTAAGCGCCCGAGAGATCGTCCACCTTGGAGATGGAGCGATGAGATTGGCTAGTGTACGGGTGCTGGATGCATTGTGGGAACTGTGAGGTTGGAGGTGGCAGGGCCACCCAAAGGTTCCTGGAGGCACGGGGCAGAATTCCACATGGGACTACTTTATTCATTCAACAAAATGGGGCCCCTTATGAGGGGGCCTCTTTTGTGTGAGGCCACTCACTAGTTGCAGTGACTTAAGGAGGCCTCATCCAGCTGATCACGATCGTGACGGTGAGACGAATGGGTTAATGTTTGAATGATTAAATGAAGGAGTAGATGACTTTACGAGCGGTTGGTCTCGGCAGTCAAAGGTGACGACGCAGGTGGAGCGGCGCAAGGAGGTGGAGCGGCGCGAGGAGGTGGAGCTGCACGAGGAGGTGGAGCTGCACGAGGCGTGCGTGCTGGCGAGCTCTCTGGAGGGCGCGCTCCGCATCGTTCCGTCGCCTCCACCGTCGTCGTTGACGATCACGACACCAGCGGCGACGTCATTGTCACGGGAGCGTTCCAAGAGCAGCGCAGGGTCCGGCAGGCACCTGGGGCCCCTGCCGCTCGTGCTCTCGGGCCACCGCGTCCGAGAGCGCAGCGGCAACCGTGGCGCAGACGACGGCGTCGACTCGCGTGGGTCCCGACCGGCGACAGCCAACGCCGTGTTTTATTCACTGCTGGTCCTGTTCAGCTACGCCCCCCCCCCCTCCCCCGAGATATAAAGAGATACAAATAATCGATAAGGGAGATAAAAGAGCCATAAGATATTAAGAGAGCTGGAGACAAAAGATGCGGTTTGTTGGTAAAGCGGCCCGCGAGCACATGCTGACATTATTACATGGTGCCACGGTGGTTTGATGTTAACTACCTCGCCTGGTATGCAGGAGGTCGGGGGTTTCGAACCTGACCCTGACGCCTGGATATATGGAGTTTGCATGTTCTCCCTGTGGTCACGTGGATTTTCTCCGGGTCCTCTGGTTTTTCCCTCCACATTTAGAAACGTGCGCTTAGAGTATTTGGCTGCTATAAAGTTCCACATGATGAGCCACTTCGTTGAACTATCATTTGTGGCCAGGTCGCTTCTGCGAAAGAGCTACACAGCTCAGTGGGCCTTACCTGGTAAAATGAAAAAAATAGTTTGGTGGCAGTACTGCCCAGTTTGTTAAGGCTATTCGGAGGATATTTGTCTTTGCAGGCTCGGTGTGTGGTGAAGAACGTTTCTGGCACGGGAAAGACTACTGCAACTTCATACTCAAGGACTGGGTGCAGCTTGACAAGCCTTTTGCCGGTCAGTGTCTCTACTGCTCCCTTCTCAAATCGCTGCTGGATGAAGGCTTCCCCGCACTGTGTCAATCATTCAGCCACAAGTTGTTGTCTGACCATACTTCACCATGCTGGTCAGTGTGGGTCGATTAAGGGGGCCGCCCAGGAATCGTTCGGATATCACTCGCCCACTGATACTAGTCGCGGCCAGGAATTCATCATCATCATCAGTCGCAGCAGCAGCAGCCTTGATCTATTCACTGCTGGATGAAGGCCTCCCGAAGCTGCCACCACCTCTTTCGGTGATACGATGCATCCAGCAGTGGATCGACGAGAGGGCATTATGCAGAGTTACATTCCTAACAATATTTTCCAGCTTGCTGATAGACTGATGGACAGTAATACCCCGATTTACGCTTCTCCCTTTTACGTCATTTCTCAAATACGCGGTCACTTTGTGAATACCACGACGACCTGATTAGCGTCGCCTCAACCCCACACTCACGCCGCTGACAGCGTCGCCCGTCTTTTTTCGTTATCCGTCGCCTCTCAACCTTCGCCTCCACCGTACCCTGTAAATCGCTTTGATCGACGTCGTTTTGATATTCGTAGTCGCATCTTTCACAGAGGCATCCCCCGATGTAAACCGGGGTGCTACTGTCTTATGTCGGATGACGAATAGCCACGGCCATTGCGAAGAGGTGTCCTCGAATTTGTGTGCTGGAAATACATGGTGAGCCATATAGATACACTTTATACATACCCACTAAAGTAATAATCAAAGTCCATAATTTTATGGCTGGGGCAAGTTTTACCAAAGGACTTTCCCACAACGTGTTACTCGATTTATCGGCCCCAGAGGGATGATGGCTTGAGTCAACTCGCAACCAGAATTTGAACTCGCAGCCTTCCGATTGCGAGCCCCCCCACCTCCCCCGCCCGCACTGCCGCTGAGCCACCTGGCGGCCGGGCACTCAAGTTCGAGGGCGCGGTAGAGAAAACAAGACGTCTCGTTCCAACGCCTCTGTAAGAAGGAACACAGAGGCTCAGCACATGGGGAAGGGCTCTCTTTGTTGACACGTCCATCTCCCAGTCTCAGCCACCATCCTGTCCTGCTTCCCCCTCCTCTCTCTCCCTCTCTCTCCCTCCTTTCAACTAATCTCTGCTTTGCCTCTCTCCTCCCTCTGAAATGTATCCACCCCGTCCATGGATGTGACAGCTCTGCTATTTTATGCTATTTTGCTAAGGTTTTCAGGTCCATATGGCGTAAATCCGTTTCAATACGGGCACATTTTTTTGTCTGTTTCTCCCTTGTGATGGGACTTTGTCGGATGAACGTTGAAATTTTTAAAGGGCATGGGATGACCAATAGGGTCCGAATTGGTCTGTAATAAGGTAACCACTGATAAGTGTTTGATATCTATGGCTCTGCTATGTTATTAAATTTTGCTAAGGGTGCTTATAACACCTTTGCACCTCTACACAGCTCTCGGCGATCTCAACGCACGTCTAAAATCCTCCTCGACTCTCTCCGCTGCGAGATACGGAGCCATCGCTTTCACGATGTTCAGTCTTCCTGCTGAAAAGTAAACGGCAGTTCAGGGGTGGGGGTAGTGTGGCAATGAGTGGGGTATCTATAGATAGATCGCCCTGTATATATTTTTTTCACCGCCCGAGTCGCCGAGCCAGCTCCGTGCGCTTAACACCAACACCGCGTCGGTCGCCCGGCTGCGACTCTGCCCGGCAGACTTCATCGACCGCTACAAGACGCCGCGCATGCCGTGGCACGACACCGGCGTCGCGGTGCATGGAGCGGCGGCGCGGGACGTCGCCAGGCACTTCATCCAGCGCTGGAACTTCACCAAGGTGCGCCCGCCACTGAAGACGACGACGGTGATGTTGAAACTGTTGCCACTGATGATGATGATGATGTTGCTCCTACTGTTGCTCTCGCTTCTATTGCTACTGCTGCTACTGCTTGCGGTGATGACATCACCTTTACAGGAAGACCTCTTCACAATTCTGGCAAATCGCCTGATGATGCTGGTTGTTGTAATCACCAGTGAAACGTCGTACTCGAATCGTAAATGGTGTGGGCTTAGTCTCCAACACACCGGTGTGCTGAAGTAATAACTAAGTGGCACTTTTTGTTTATGTGACAAATCTTACTAATTGGCTGCATCGGGTGGTGCCGAGTTTTAACGACACATTTATATTTTCACAATCTAACCCAACATTTTTTTTAATAGACTGCTTCTACTGCTGCTACTGTTGCTGCTTTCACTTAAGATCCTGTTGCATCTGCTGCTGCTACCGCTGTCGCATCTGCTGCTGTGTTTACAATTTCAGGGAGGCAAAGGGGGTGCAGGGGCTGTCGTACCTCCTGCACCCTGCATGTTCCCTTGCCCTGTATGTCTGGAGGAGGGGTGAGGAACAGGTTCCTCTACTGAAGGCCAAAGAGGACATTCAAATACATTTGATGAACCACACATTAACACATACCGTAGTGTTATCAACTGATATAGAATTAGTTTGGTTAAGGTGCTTATGGTGATGGGCCAATTTTATGTAGTAGGCCCAGGGATTAATATCGCTCAGGTCTGCCCGGGTCAGTAACCTGAACAATATTTCCACTCCCAGTACACCCCACATCCATTATACCCCTTGCTATGTATGTGGCTATGAGTCACGACCCTACCCCACAAATGAGAAATTAAGCCCAGGGTAGGCCTCATGTGGCCATGCTCTGTATGTACAAAATGAAGTCGCCAGGGAAGTGCCAAGCCAGGCCTTCATGATTTGAGATGCCAGGTTGTTTTCCACTGCAGAGCCCAAACCGTGCCACTGATGAACACGGTTGATGCCGTGTCCTCCGTGTGCTGACTGACGTCACGCGCAGTCGATGTGCGACAGCCCCAGCCCCCTGGCCCTGCTTGGCCTTGTGAGGCCAGCCTTTGACTGTTTGGTTCCGCGAGGGCCCTGCGCTTGCTCCACTCGGATGTGCTAGTGGAAAAGGGTGTGGAAGCCGGGAGCATGGTGGCGAGATGTTAACTACCTCGCCTGGTATACAGGAGGTCGTGGGTTCGATCCCAAACCTGGCATAGTTGCGTGGATTTTTCTCCGGGTCCTCCGGTTTTTCCCTCCACATTTAGATTCAACGTGCGTTTAGAGTATTTGGCTGCAATAAATTTCCAGACGATAAGCCACTTCGTTGAGCTATCATTTGTGGCCAGGTCGCTTCTGAAAAAGAAGCTGATAACTCAGTGGGGCTTATCTGGTAAATTAAAAAAATAGTTCCGAGCTTAGTTTAAGCCATCACGTTCGAGGATGTCGGCTCGATGCGACTACGGGGTACCACGTACATTTCTCATGACTCGCGGGAATGCGATGTCCTTCCAGATCGTGAAGAAGAAGTCGAAAAGGAACTCCTTCCCTTTCCTGCTGCCAAAATCCCACCGCACGTCACAGCAGCTCCACTACTCCCTGCCTGGTTCCGTGGCCACCAACGTGCAGGTTTGCCAAGTTCACATCCAGATTGAAGTTGCCACCCGATGCGGATTCTAAATATCTCCTGGATGTCGACCCATGCCTCTGACCAAGTTTCCCAGACCGTGCCCGATCTCATCAGATCTCGGAAGCTGAGCAGGGGTCAACTTGGACAGGGCTTAGATGTGCTACCACCATGCATAAAACAGGTGTCATAGGCTGCTTCTGGGCTATACTGTGGGTAGTGCGGCAAATTAAAGTGTTATACTGTACATCTATGCTCCCACAACTTTGCTGCCCACTTTCCTCAATTCACACTGAACAACATGGTGAAGTCCAGTCAGATAACCCAAACGAACTGTACGGTGTGGAGAAACCTTTATCCAGCAGTGAATTATAATAATATATAATATTGACAGATGGGCTGTACCTGTCCTTTGTTGAAACATGCTCGTGTGGTGTGCATTATCTCATAAAACGTGAGATGTGCCACAGCGTTTGCTCCGCGGTCAATTTGTGATGCGCCGGCCCAGGTGCTGCGCTCTGTGAGCCACTGGTCAGCGGGGGTCACATGTCACGAGGAGTCCATCCACCTGGCGTACTTATCGGCCATCCGCAGCAGCAAGCACTACATCTACATAGAGGTGGGATACCGCGCCACCAGCTCAAGCAACCTCACCGAGCCACCACTCCACCAGCGACATCGCCAGCGGTGGTGTACAAAATTATTTGGCACCTGTCCTTACGGATACTGCAAGGTCCAACCATGTCCGTCCGGTGCTCGCCGAACTGCATTGGCTTCCGGTTGCCGAACGAATATAATTATGAGGTCACAATCATTACCTTGTTGGTCTCGTCAAGGAGCATAAACCATCAAACGAACTCCGGTCATCCTAACAGTAGCGGCTTTTGGCTAACCAGCGAACAAAGGCGGTGGTCACAGCATCGCGCGCTTCCAGATGCGCTTTTGCACCTGTCTTGGAACGCTCTTCCGATATTAGGAAGCCACTGGAACTATGCACTTTTAAATATAAATTGAAAACGAATTTCGTTCGAACTCCTTGTTGTTGTGTTTAGTTTGTTGACCTTCCCCTGCACCTCCGATTAGCACGGTTGGCAACATACGGTACTAGAGAAGTTCAACATACATACAGTACAACCAACTCCACCAAGTAACCACACCACCAGTAATGTCACTGGCACCACCTGCTCTACCAACACCACCGACTTCGCCAAGCCACCACACCACCAGTGGCACTTCACTAGCATTTCCCAGCGTGCCGTGTGTGGCACTGACCCTTGCCTCCACTCTGCGTGTCAACGGTCTGATTATTTGCGAGTCCCACAGAATCAGTTCTTCATCAGCTGTGCCGACAACAAGACGGTTTTTAACAAGGTGGGAGATGCCCTCGTGGACAGGATCTTGCAGGCCTACAGGTACCATCTGTACATCGCGATATTTTCTGGTTGTTAATGTATGTGTAGTGACACCAACACACGCTCTTGCTTTACTAAGAGCCTTTATTTTGGACACGACGCTATTCCTAGACCCAGGCTTCGGTTCTTGATGCTTGAACTACGTCTTCTCTCCAACCGTCCATTCCACTCGTGCTCTCCCCTTTTATATTCCTCCAGCCCCTTTTTATCCGCTCACCCCCATTTCCGTCACCCAATCCTCGTCCTCCTGTTCTAACGGTTGTTAACCATTACCCCAACAGCTCACCCTCGTTTTCCCGCCTTTTGTGTTTGAATTTCTCAACCAATTGGGTCAATTCTCTGGCACTAACCAATCCCATTTGAAGCCTCTCTGCACCATTCAGAGGCTTGATACACTTCCTGACTCCGTTTATACGCATACCGTGTCAGGTAAGTGGTCTGTTGTTTTCGTTCTTCACATATGTATGTATGTTGAACTTCTCTCGCATCGTACATGGCCAACTGTGCTAGTCGGAGGTGTCACGCTCTGCTGATGAGTCCTAGTTGAATCGAAACCAGCCCAACGTCACTTTGCTGCATAAATTAATGTGGAAAGCTCATTGGCTGCTATTTCGGTGTGCCAATGCAACTTTTCTAATGATAAAAGCCAGTTATAGATGGAACCGCCACATGGAGATTCCACGAAGGATTTAATATAATTCAATCAAAAGGGAAGTCAAACAAGGAGATGCACTATCACCAAGGCTGTTCAAATCAATATTAGAGAATATTTTAGAGAAACTGGATTGGCGAAATTAAAGGCAACATCTTCATTGGTTAAAGGCAGTTTGGCGTGTTTTTGATGGCCTTTATTGACCAATCTCCCACCGTTGGGGGCAACCCGATGGGCTGAATCACTCGCTCCATCCATTTCATCTACCTACTTACAATGAAACCAGACTTTCTGCATAACAAATTGTTATGGGTTATTATTTGCTAATTTAAGACAGCACTAACATTAAGACCAAGTGTGTACAGGGCAGCACCGACATTAATGCCAGGCCTTCACAAGTCTGTTGCCAGAAGAAGGTAGCACGGCAAGTGGACTCATCGGCATCTGTTTCCATCTGTACGGGAATTGAGTGTTGCTCCGGTTTCCTTCCAAACACGTGTATAATAAACACCCTCGCCATTAATTGGACTGAAAACGTCTTTTAATAGAAGCCCAATGCAGCAGGACCCTCCTGGAAAAGAATCCTACGGCTCGGTATGGCTCTTCTGGATAAATAAGTGCTGTACAGTAGTCCCTTGATTAACAGTGACATCGGTTACCATTGTTTTTGTTAACGTTTGGCCTCCCATAGGACCCCATGGTTTCGACTAACGCTAAAGTGTTGACTAATGGTATGTTTACGTTATGCACACGATGGCGCCAATTTCGGCTAATCTGAGCACTCGTAAGTGTGGATGAGCCATGCCCTCAGCCAATCAGCGGCTCCCATTTATAAGCGTTAAGACGTTTTCTGTTTTGGCAAGGGAAACAGCCCTCTTGCAAGACTCCAGTGATCTTTATATATATTCGATGAACAGTTATTACTGTTAACAGTAGTTTTCTTGGAACGGATTAAAAACGTTAACCGAGGGACTACTGTAGAACGATTAATATTGTTATTCCTGGCATTCGAGCGAGCCGCACTCACCCCCACGCTGCCCTCACCCCCACGCTGCCCTCACCCCCACGCTGCCCTCACCCCCACGCTGCCCTCACCCCCACGCTGCCCTCACCCCCACGCTGCCCTCACCCCCACGCTGCCCTCACCCCACCTACAGGGAGAATCGGACGTTCCGGGTGTACGTGGTGCTGCCCCTCATACCGGGCTTCGAGGGCGACATCACCACGGGGGGCGGGAATGCCATCCAGGCCGTCATGCACCTCAATTACAGGTGGTGGGCTGTCCAGGGGTGGGACAGCCAACCCCAGGGACGATTGTAAGGGAGCGTTAATACTTGACCTATAGGGCTCTTGTGATTTATGTAAGCGTGTATATGGCGGTGTAACAGGACATAGAGCAGTTGTAATAGTTACACAGTCGATTGCACGGCCTCTAGAGATAGCAATACTATTGTATTGCTAAGCATGTGTAGAGGAGTAGTGGAGAGTGGTGGCGTCGTGTGCGCTGTCAGGTGCGGTGACCTCACGGGACGTGGGGTCGCACGCGCTGGGCAGTGCACGTGACATCACCCCTCCGAGGGTATATAAGGGAGACCCCGTAACGTAAGCGGGGTCACTGGAGGAACGGGGATAGTGGAAGGGGTAAAGAGGGAACCAGGGATAGTGATAAGTGTTAATAAACCCTGGCGGAAGCCCCTAACTCAACCTCCGTCTCCGAGTACCTCCGTCTACGATACAACAACTGGTGTCAGAAGTTTACACCGTCGCCAACATGTATAAAGCGGGCGCACGGCGTAGGAACCCACCGGCACATGACTTGGAGGGTGCCGAAGGCGGAGAGGAGGCTCCAGCAGTGACCCCGGAGCCCGGGACCCCGGTGACGGTTCCCGTGGAGACGAGCGGGCCGGAGCGGGAGGAGTCGGCTGCGGGGAGTGCCAGCTCACCGCCGCCGCCAGAGACGGAGAGCGTCCCCGCAGCTCTGCTGCAGCAGCTCCTGCAGGCGGTGGGGCAGCTGACCGCCAGGTTGGCCGAGGTGGAGGCGCGGACGCAGCCAACCGCCCCGCACGCGGGACGGGAGCAACTGTCAACTGCCAACGTTGAAAGCGCCGCAGTTTTCCCAGCGACCGCTCCACCGGAAATGGCCGCCATGTTGGCTGCGACGCAATCCGCGGCGGCCATGTTGGCTCGGGAGCCATATGCGGCCGCTGCTACGGCTGCCATGGCGACCGCGACGCCGCGTCTCTCCACCGACGTGGCCGGGATTTCTCGGCACGCCGCTCCTGCGAGACCAGCCGCCGGCGACGACGCGGCTCTACATCAAGCTGCACCCGCCGGGGGGGCCCCAGCGACCGCTCCACCGGAAATGGCCGCCATGTTGGCTGCGACGCAATCCGCGGCGGCCATGTTGGCTCGGGAGCCATATGCGGCCGCTGCTACGGCTGCCATGGCGACCGCGACGCCGCGTCTCTCCACCGACGCGGCCGGGATTTCTCGGCACGCCGCTCCTGCGAGACCAGCCGCCGGCGACGACGCGGCTCTACATCAAAGCGGCGCCCGCCGGGGGGGCCCAGGGTAAGTACGCGCGTGCCGTCCTCGCCGGGCCGCCGGGGTGGGCAGCGGCGGCTGCTGCTGCCCCGTACATCGCTGTGCCGCCGGAATGGGCCGCGGGTGCTGCCGCGGCTCAACCTGTCGCTGCGCTCACGGGGCCGGACACCGGCGATGCCGCGGCTCTGCACCTCGCCGTGCCTGCGTCCCTTCTCATGGATGACGCCGCAGCTGCGTGTTATTCTGCCGCGTCTTCGGCGTGGCCCATGGAGGCTGCAACGCCGTGGCGCCTCGCCGCGTCGCGAGAGGTTGCCGCGGCTGCGGCCGCTGTCCCGCACCTCGCTGCGCCGGCGGGGAGGGCCGCGGGGGCCACCGCGGCTCCGTGTTTTACCGCCGCGTCTTCGGCGTGGCCCGGGGAGGCCGCAACGCCGTGGTGCCTCGCCGCATCGCGAGAGGTTGCCGCGGCTGCGGCCGCTGTCCCGCACCTCGCTGCGCCGGCGGGGTGGGCCGCGGGGGCCGCTGCAGGCCCGAATTACACCGCCGCGTCTTCGGCGTGGCCCGTTGAGGCTGCAACGCCGTGGTCCCTCGCCGCGTCGCGGGACGACGCCGTGGCTTCGTACGCCGCCGCTGACCGGTGGGTCGCGAAAGCGCAGGCGCCTTCACACTTTGCTGCGTCTACGGCGTGGCCCATGGGGGCCGCAACTCAGCCACAATTCGCTGCGCCTACGGCGTGGCCCATGGGGGCCGCAACTCAGCCACAATTCGCTGCGCCTACGGCGTGGCCCAAGGGGGCCGCAACTCAGCCACAATTCGCTGCGCCTACGGCGTGGCCCATGGGGGCCGCAACTCAGCCACAATTCGCTGCGCCTACGGCGTGGCCCATGGGGGCCGCAACTCAGCCACAATTCGCGGCGCCTACGGCGTGGCCCATGGGGGCCGCAACTCAGCCACAATTCGCTGCGCCTACGACGTGGCCCATGGGGGCCGCAACTCAGCCACAATTCGCTGCGCCTACGGCGTGGCCCATGGGGGCCGCAACTCAGCCACAATTCGCTGCGCCTACGGCGTGGCCCATGGGGGCCGCAGCACCACCGCACCTTTCCGCGTCTTCGGCGTGGCCCGCGGGAGCCGCAATGCTGCCACCGCCGCAACACGTCGCGTCCGCTGGGTGGCCCGCAGGTGCCGCTTGGCTTCCACACCTCGCGGCGCCGCGCGGCCAATGGCAGCGCAGGTTACCCGACGTTGCGCCGTTTGTCGCGCAAGGGGGCGACTGGTCGGCCTTCCAGGACCGGTTCGACGCGGCATACATGTCGGTCGGCTGGTCCATGGAGGAGGCCTTGCCGGCGCTTCCGACCTGCTTGGACGAAAGGGCTCTGCAGGCCTTCAAGTCCATCCATCCGGCCAATCGGGCTACACTCCCGGCGGCCTATATCCAAATGGCCAACGTTTTTGAGCCGCCGTCCACCGCGCAGCTAAAGTTTTCATTGCGGCGGCGGGAGGAGGGGGAACTGCCGCTGGCCTTTCCGCTGCTCGCTCCTGGCCCTGGCGCAGGCTGCATACCCTGACCTGTACGGCAGGGCACTTGATTCTATGGCCTTGGGGAAGCTGCTTGACCTGGCAAGGGAGCTAGGAATTGCTCTGTCGATCAACAATGATCGGCAGATCACATCCTTGGCGGTCGCAGAAAACATTCAGGCGCACCTCTCCCTCCGCCAACGGCCTCAGATGGCGGCGTGTGCGGGGATCCTGGCGCCGGACGGGGGGGACACCCTCGCGGCCCTGGCGATGCCCGATCGTCGAGGAAGGGGGACGGGTGGTCGCCGTCCGGAGCAGCGGGGGCGGCCGGGACCTTCCCGTCCACAGGAGGCGGACACGGTGGCCTGCTTCCGCTGTGGTCAGCGGGGCCACATTGAGCGGGGCTGCCGGAATGCCCCGGGGGCCTTTGGAAAAGGGACTCCACCTTCTCCCAGACCCTCCTTGGCATCGGGTTCGGGGCCCCAGGCGAGTCGCGACGCATCATCTGCGCGGCCGCTCCCTTCACCTCATGCATCTAGCGGGGCTAGGGCCCATCGTCATGGGGTTGTCCTCGAAGGGTCGGGTGCACCATCGTCATCACCCCCTCAATGGCCCAGACAGACCCGCCACTGGGATGCGCTTGCGCATAGGATGGTGGCGGCAGCTGCCGGCTCCTCAGCGGTGGCAGGATATGTGCAAGGGGTGCACGTTCGCCTCCTGGTGGATACGGGGGCGTCGGCCACCATTATTTCTGAGGCCATTTTTGGGCTGCTACCCCGCAGCGTGGGTCCATTAAGGCCGGTTCGCGGGGCTTGTGTCGCCGCGAACGGCGGCAGTTTGGGCATCCTGGGCCACGTTGTAGCGTCGGTTCGGGTTGACGAGATTGAGTTGGCCGGGCCGATTTTGGTCTCCAGGACCTTGGCAGTGCCATGCCTCTTGGGGACCGACTTTTTGTCTAGGATGCCCATCCGAATTCTCGTTGACCAGGGCTGTGTGGAAATGCCGTCAGGGAGGCGGCTGCAATTCCTACAATCACCTACCGTCCTGTCTCCCTTGGTCGCCGGTGTACGGGCCTTGAATAAAGTGCCGGTGACCGTACCACCGGCGTCACAAATCCTGATACCCCTTAGGTTGCGCAAACCGCTCGAAATGGGCTCCACGGAGACGGGTATCCTCCTGTCCCCGTCAAGCTACTTTTCAAGGACGAAGGGGTTGGTGGGCGCCTTGACAGCCGTGTCGGGGGGCCAGGACCTTTTTTTGCAGGTCCTCAATTCGGGACCCTTGCCGGTCATAGTCCCGGCCGGCGCCGTCCTGGCACACGCAACCCCGGCTCCTCCACCCGAGAGCGCTGCCCCGGATGGAGGGGTCGTGGCGGGCGTGATGCGCACGGGGGACCCCGACGCATCATGGATCGCCACGTTGTGCGACGAGAATGCCTCGTTGTCCTTCGGGGAACGTCGGCAACTCCGCGACCTCATCGAACGGTTCACCGATGTGTTCAGCCAAAGTAAGTTTGATCTGGGTCGCACTACTCTTTTGGACCACCACATAGACACGGGCGACGCGGCCCCCATTCGACTTAATTCCCACCGCTTTAGCCCAGCGGAAAAAGATCATGTCCGCTCGGCTGTCGAGGAAATGTTGGCGGCGGACATCATCTCCCCATCTACTAGCCCTTGGGGTGCCCCCATTGTGCTAGTCAAGAAACGGGACGGGAGTCTCCGGTTCTGCGTCGATTTTCGTAGATTGAACAAGATCTCGGTGGCTGATGCATATCCATTGCCTCGCATGGATGATTCCTTGGACGCCCTCTCGGGCGCGCGGTTCTTTTCGACTTTAGATTTGCTCTCCGGCTTCTGGCAATTGCCACTGGATGAGGCCTCTAGACCCAAAACAGCGTTCCGCACGCCCCAGGGGTTGTTCGAGTTCAATCGGCTTCCTATGGGTCTCCATTCGGCCCCGGCCACCTTCCAGCGTCTCATGGAGATGGTCTTGGCGGGGCTGCAGTGGGAGTCTTGTCTAATCTACTTGGATGACGTTATTGTTTTTGGCCGTACGTTTGGCGAGCACTTGCAACGCCCTGAGGCGGTGTTCGTCAAAGTGCGTGCTGCTGGCTTGAAATTCAAACCCCAGAAATGCCACTTGCTACAACCATCGGTGAGGTATTTGGGACACATTGTTAGCACGTCAGGTGTCGCCACGGACCCGGATAAAACGGCTTGTGTCCGGACGTGGCCGACTCCCACATCTGTCGCGGAGGTGCGTAGCTTCGTTGGATTCGCATCGTACTATCGCCGGTTTGTCCGCGATTTTGCGACAATTGCGAAGCCACTGCACGCCCTTTCCGCCAAAGGACAAAGGTTTCACTGGGGCGCGGAGGAGGAGGCGGCTTTTGCGGCGCTTCGCACGGCCTTGGCGGATGCGCCGCCCTTGGGGTACCCGGATTTTACGAAACCCTTCCTGCTCGATACCGATGCCAGCGACACGGGAATTGGGGCTGTCCTGGCCCAGGTGGTCGACGGGGTTGAGAGGGTGGTAGCCTATGGCAGTCGCGTTCTGTCCTCGACGGAACAGCGATATTGTGTGACCCGGAGGGAGCTTTTGGCCATAGTTTATTTTGTTCAGTTGTATAGACCATATTTGTACGGTAGGCTGTTTACGGTCCGAACCGACCACGCGGCCCTGCAATATTCGCTGAAGATTAGTCAGCCCTCGGGTCAGCTGTCTCGCTGGCTCGAAGTGCTCCAGGATTACCCTTTTGATGTAATCCATAGGAAGGGGACACAGCATGGAAATGCGGACGGTTTATCCCGATTGCCGGCAGGCGGCGGGTGTGCTTGCGCCCTGGGCTCTAGCCGTTGCAAGGCCCCAGGGGACGCCGCGGCCCAGTTGGTCGCGTCGGCCGAGGCGGACACCCCTCCAGGTGCGGCGTCGACCGCAGATTTCGGCCTTGGACTTCCCCGGGAGGTATGGTCCGGCTTGCAGATGGAGGATTCCTCTCTGCTGAAGCTACGGCGCCGTGTCGGACATAACGCCCGGAGCTTAGCTTCGTCGGCTGCCCCGGCGATCGCCGTGCATGACGGACTACTCATGCGTTGGGATGCCCAATTGGAACGCTATTGTGTGGTTGTGCCCACTAGCCTGCGTGGTAAATTAACCCGAGCCATTCACGAGAAGCTTATGCACCTTGGCTACCACAAGACCTTATTGACCCTTAAGCGGGACTATTACTGGCCGGGTGTTGAGGGTGACGTAGCACTGATTTTGAAGGGTTGCCACGACTGCGCGCGGAGGAAGGCCCCAGTTGTCCAGGACCGGGCCCCGCTGCAGTCCATCCGGGTTTCTCGCGTTAATGAGCTCGTGGCGCTCGACATTTTGGGGCCATTCCCTGCATCCCAACGGGGCCACAAATACCTCTTGGTGGGCGTTGAGTACCTCACACGTTGGCCCATGGCATGGCCTTTGGTCGATCAGTTGGCCTCTTCTATCACCGAGGCCTTCGTCCAGGGATACGTGTTTGACAAGGGCGCGCCGGAACAATTGTTGACTGACCAGGGGCGGAATTTCTCGTCTAGGTTGCTCAAGGAGGTGTGTGACCTCCTTGGCACCAAGAAAATCCGCACCTCGCCCTACCACCCCCAGTCAGATGGGATGGTAGAGCGCTTGAACCGCACCCTTACGTCCATGCTGTGCCACCAGGTGAACACGTCCCAGTCAGACTGGGACCTGTTCGTCCCGGGGGTCTTGGCGGCGTATCGGTTGGCCCCTCATGCCTCCACGGGATTTTCGCCTTTTTATTTAATGTACGGTAGGGAACCGGAGCCCCCGGTGCACGTCCAGATGGACGTTGGCTCCTCCAAGAAGGGGTCGTCGGTGCCGACCCCTTTGAAGGTCGCACTTGACCGGCTGCGCGAGGCGCGACAGGCCGCTGCCGAGAATTCCGCAAGCCGGCAGGCGGCTAATGAGCGGCTGCCAAAACACCAGGCAGCTGGCCTCCCGTGGGTAGCGGGTCAAAAAGCGTGGCTGCATTGTCCCCAGGTCCCCGTTGGCACATCGGCCAAATTGCATCGCCCTTGGCAGGGACCCGTGGAGGTTGTGGAGGTCCGCCGGCCGCAATGCGTCCGGATTCGATTCGGTCGCAGGCAGTGGATAGTGCACCCGTCCCGGCTCAAACGTTATGTTCCATCTACCCTGGGGGATCCACCCCCAATTCCGGAGCGGCCGGCTGATGATGTATCCGGCGTGCCTGACCGGCCGGGTCTCGTTGACGGAGGTGACGTCCGACCTGTGTGTGTGCCCCCAGGCCCCTCCCGAGTGAGGCCGACAGAGACCCCCCAGGCACCGGAGGCCACGGCGGTGGGCCTGTTGCCCGCTGACGGCCCACCTGCACGGGTGGCGGACACCGCACGAGGGAGCGGGCCAGCAGCGCATACCCGCTCGAGGGGGGTGCGGCTCCGGTGACGGCCCTGATGGCCGTTCAGCGGGCCTAGCCCCTGGCGCCCGTTCGGCGCTATCCGGCGGATGAGGCCTTCGGGCTCTATTTGTTTTGTTTTTTTGTTGTTACTGTTCTGCTTGAAGGGCCGTGCTGCCCTAAGGTTGATTGCAGCCGGGTCGGCTGTTTTTTTTTACGGGGGGGGGTGATGTAGAGGAGTAGTGGAGAGTGGTGGCGTCGTGTGCGCTGTCAGGTGCGGTGACCTCACGGGACGTGGGGTCGCACGCGCTGGGCAGTGCACGTGACATCACCCCTCCGAGGGTATATAAGGGAGACCCCGTAACGTAAGCGGGGTCACTGGAGGAACGGGGATAGTGGAAGGGGTAAAGAGGGAACCAGGGATAGTGATAAGTGTTAATAAACCCTGGCGGAAGCCCCTAACTCAACCTCCGTCTCCGAGTACCTCCGTCTACGATACAACACATGTATAGGTGTAATGCTAACCAAAGATGGCTGACACTGGACCGTTTTTCAGTGATCACTGACTGTTGAATGAAGCCTTGGGAAACCGAATCTCGAGTCTCCAGACGACAGGAATGGAGTCGACCTTCACGACCATCACCACTGCCTGCAGAGTTTTTGGCTGCTGCAATGCATTTCCACGTGATGATGATTATAAGCCATTTCGTTGAGTGTATCATTTGTAGCCAGGTCGCTTTTTAAAAAGAGATACAGTATATATCTCAGTGGGCCTTACCTGGTAAAATAAAAAAATAAAGAGTTTAGTTTGTAGTTTCACTGGCCTAAATGCTCACCCCCACTGTCTTATTCCTCAGGACCATGTGTCGTGGAGAGTACTCCATCATCGAAAGGCTCAAGGCAGAGAGTGAGTGCTACCATGTCCCCTCCTCCAGCTGCCGCTCCGGCGTTAGTCTCTGCGGTTGAATTTTGTTGATGTTGTTACCAAACCGTGCAGCCTGGTAGCGTGACCCTGTTTAAAGTAGGAGGCATGAAAAAACATAGAAATAGGGCCGGGAAGGGGGGGGAGCACAACACAGTTAATGTTAAACAAACTTTTAAGAGATGCTATAAACGTTGGACTCAACGGATAGTGACACGATCTGTTCCTGTCCACCGTGTATTCCGCTCTGCCTCTCACCTCCGGTGTGTGTCGCGGTAAAGGCTGTGACGCCCATCACTTATATGTGCTAATTTTTTTGCCAACAATTTTTTTCCTCGACTTTAAGAATTTAGCAGTGGGAAGGGGGCAGGGGGGCAACTCACCCTGCCCCCACGACGCTGTGGGGCTGAAACTCTGACGGCTGACCTCTGGCACGCGCGTGTGGCGGTGGTGTAGCAGTTAACGCGCTGTGCTTCGAACCCGACGACCCGAGTTCTATTCCCGCTGACGGCCAACACCAGTGACAATTACCTGAACCGGTCCTGGGCCTCCCCTTTGTCGACTCAGTCTGAAATGAGTACCTGGTGCGGTGTGTAAACATCGCCACTGGGGAGACAAAGGCGGCCGGGTGTAGTGCTGGCCACCCACCCCCTCGTGTACCTTACCGGCCTTCATAGGTGCTCGCGAACAGCACTTGCCCCCTACAATCTGTTAAAGGCTACACGGGGGAATTTTTGTCTTGTCTGCATCCGTGTGGGTGCGTGTACGTGTATGGGTGCGTGTGTGTGCGTACGTGTCTTCGTGCGTGTGTGGATATGTGTGTGCCTGCGCGTGCGTGTCTGTGTGCGTGCGTGCGGCAGTGAGCGACCGCTGGATGCACTTTGTGTCGTTCTGCGGTCTGCGCACGCACGCCAACCTGGACGGCCGCCTCGTCACGGAGCTTGTCTACGTGCACAGCAAGCTGCTCATCGCCGATGACACCACCGTCATCATCGGTGCGGCCACCACAATCCTCCCCCACCTCATATAAGCACATCCTCGTCACCGTATGTAAGGAGCGTTGATATAAGCAACGCATGCTTTTCCAATAATACAGGAATTTTTGGGGGGTAGATCACGTAAATATAAATGTGTTCTATGGGGACCTCATTTGCCAGTAAAAATATGATAATTGGTTCTTTACCCTTCTATCTGGCAACAAAACTGACACCTTTTTGCAAGGAGTCATGTTTGCATAGACCGCAATACCTGCAGTCATAATACAAACAAAAGAACATAACTCTGATAATGTGCACTGTCCTTGAAGTTGATTGGTCCACACCCGAGACAGCTTTCCTTCGAGCCTAGTCTCATATGGGTTGGATATGGGTTGGACCAGATGACGCCTTTTGGCGTCATCTGGTCCAACCCATATGAGACTAGGCTCGAAGGAAAGCTGTCTCGGGTGTGGACCAATCAACTTCAAGGACAGTGCACATTATCAGAGTTATGTTCTTTTGTTTGTATTATGACTGCAGGTATTGCGGTCTATGCAAACATGACTCCTTGCAAAAAGGTGTCAGTTTTGTTGCCAGATAGAAGGGTAAAGAACCAATTATCATATAAATGTGTTGTTAAACTTGCCACCGCCCGACACAGCCAATTAGTAAGGTTTGTCGCGTAAACAATCCCTCCGGGGTCGTAAAATACAAACCACTTTGTGGGGAAGTCAACAATGGTTTCCTACGAATAGACTGACGCCTACCATAGGAATGTGGAATTTCCACCACTGGCTCAGGGCTGTTAATGGGAGATGAGCACTGCCTCAATGCTCATTTAAACAAACATTTTTTTTTACTATATTAATTTTTCCAGATAAGTCCCACTGAGCTGTATAGCTCTTTTTCAGAAGCAACCTGGCCACAAATTATAGCTAAATGAAGTGGCTTATCACGTGGAAATTTATAGCAACCAAATACTATAAACGCACCTTGATTCTAAATGTGGAGGGAAAAACAGGAAGACCCAGAGAAATCCCATGCGACCACAGGGACAACATTCAAACTCCAAATATACAATAGGTGTCAGGGTCGGGATCGAACCCACGACCTCCTGCATACCAGGCGAGCTAGTTAACATCTCGCCACAAAAAATCCCTCTGACTCTTGACACCCACCCTTGAGTTGATCCCTTGCCTCCGTCACCACCACCAACACCGCCGTGCTTGCAGGCTCTGCCAACATCAATGACCGCAGCCTGCTGGGCCGCAGGGACAGCGAGATAGCAGTGATGGTGGAGGACAGCGAGATGGTGCCGTCCACCATGGACGGGCGGCCCTACCAAGCCGGCCGCTTTGCCTTGCACCTGCGCACGCACTGCTTCCGGTAAGGATGGAGACACGTTCAGTGTCGTGCCTGCGTCTCGTGGATAACGTATTGCAGCTCCATTCCTCGGCACATTCCAATTGTCGGTACGCCCCCTCCGAGGGGCAGACAAGTTCTGATGTGCAGTTGTGCAAGCGTGCCGCCATCTTTTATCACATGATACGTCTGCCATCTCGTGGATTCGTTTATGACATTGTGAATAAAATGTGCCATTTAAAAATTGAGCAACGACTGTAAAGAAGCCCTCTCCCTCCCCATGCTGTCCAAGTCCTCTGTCCCCTCACTTGTGTCCCGTGCTGCATCCCCTTTTGTGTTCTGTGTCTCACCCTTGTGTCCCGTGTCATAAGCATGGTACTGGGCCTGTTGGACGATGCCACAGTTGACGTTAGTGACCCCGTGCACGACCGCTTCTACAAGGAGGTGTGGGTGACCACAGCGGCACGCAACGCCATGGTCTACGACAAGGTGATGTCCATTCTCTATCCACTGCTATACGTTCTCTAGTATCTCCTCAGTGCATCTGTAGCTGCACCGTAGTACCAACTGTATTTTGCCTCGTTTCATTCATAGGAATATAAGGTTCATAATATAGGATTATTATGAATAGGCGGTACCGTGTTTTCTCGTAGTAATGGTAGTAGTGCCTTACACCTGTAAAGACCAAAAACAACAGATCACTTACCTGACATGGTACGCGTGCAAACGGACAGTCAGGAAGTCTGTCAATGCCTCTGATTGGCGCAGGGAAGCCTCAAAGAGGAATGGTTAGGGTCAGAGAATTAAACTGATTGGAGGAGAAATTTAAACATAAAAGGCGGGAAACGAGGGTTGACTGTCGGGGAAACGGTTGACAACCGTTGGAAAAGGAGGACAGGGATTGGCCGAGGTAAATAGAGTGAGCGAACCTTCCAGAAAGGAGGCTTGAGTGATATTAAAGAGGATAGCGCAAGTGGAAGGGACGCTTGGAGAGAAGACGAAGTTCGTACATGAAGAACCGAAGTCCGGGCCCAAAGAATAGTGTTGGTGTCCACAATCAAGGCTATTAGTCAAGCAAGAATATGTATCGGTGTCATTACACACCGATTAACCTCACTCCAAGGCAGCCTAGCAGCATTGCAGAAAATAACGAGTGGCGAATTAAGCCCTGGCTATAAGAATGCCGTGAATACGCGCGTACTCGTGAATTAACGTTCTTTTTTTCGTCGAGAAGGCAGCTTCCTTTCTCGTGACTTCCAACCCCACTGTTGCCAGGTGTTCCGCTGCCTCCCGACAGACGAGGTGCGCAACTACGGAGAGCTGCGCGAGTGGCAGGCAAGCCCAGGCCTGGCGTCCGCCGAGCCAGGCCTCGCCGCGGAAGAGTTGCGGAAAGTTCGTGGCTTCCTCGTGCAGTTCCCGCTCTGCTTCCTGGCCGACGAGAATCTCTACCCCTCGCTCAACTCCAAGGAGGGCATGCTGCCCAGCGAGCTGTGGACTTGAGCGAGATCCGATTAGCGAGGTTGGCTTCGTCCGGTGCGAAAGAAGTTCAACATACATAAGTGCACATCAGTAGCGGTAACTAGTGTAGTGGCACGGGGTACCTTGGCCGCTCCAGTGGTGGCCAAAGCAATGAGTTGGGCCCCATTGACAACCACCATGAGATATATTTTCAACAACAATGTAAAAGAACACATTTGAAACGCAGTTTCAATTATTTTTTATGAAAATGCTTTAATTTACATTTGGCTTGTGTAAATTTGGGCAAATCAAATATTGAGACCCCACCTGACCGATTTTCGCACCCCCCCTAAGCTGATAATGTTGTTACGCCATTGATACCAATACATACGTCGCTCACTACAGTCTCGTAGATTCACCTTGTTTTAAAGAAATGGGACTCGACACAAACTTTATTTGAGTCTGTCTCAACAAGTCTATGCATTTCTCAATGCTTGAATTGTCACCTCCAAACAATCCACCGCGAGATGAAGACCGGTATGTCATCTCTGATTTGCATGTTTCCTGATCCACGGGCTCTCTTTGTCTCCGCGTAATTCTGAGCATCCCATTCATCTCTCCATGTTCTGGTGCACACTTTTTAGCATTTGCTGATGAACACTGTACCGTCTCTACATTGTGATATCACCGTGTGCATGTTGCGTGGTGCTTGTTGTAACGCAGCGGCTCTCAACCATAAACATTATTTGAGTAGAGTGTGTGTGGCACTCGCAACAGGCCACAGATATGTTCTGGGTCAGGAGTAGCCAAACCATGGCTCTCGGGCAGTTAAGTGTGGATTGATAGATATGGAGTGAGTCCAACTGAGTCGCAGACGTTCATCTTCAGAGGCAACACATTTATTACACAACACGTATATACAAAAGGGGTAGCTGCCCCTTTACCAGATAGAGCCTAGGGTGGTGACCAAGTTAGGGCTACAATGTACCGGACCCGGACTCGGGTCCCGGGCCACGTGTTGGTGCCTCTTCAGATGTAAAACGTGGATCTTCCAGCTTGCAGAACGTAGCAACCCTGGTCCCTCCCAGGGACCCACCTTATATCCTCTTGGGTCGGGGCCGGCTCTGCCCTTGGCCCCGCCCACCTTCGAGAGCGTTCCAGCTCTCGATCCCTCTCGAGAGCTCCCCCGGACACGTGATCACCCCCTAGCCCCCCCCCCCACTTGGGGGCCTCCCTTTGGACACTCCGGATCACGTGCCATGGCCTGGGGCAACCCTGTCCCTGGGCTGACACTCTCCCGCACTGCACGCTATGCGTGGTGCCATCACTATCCCAGCGCTCACCAAGCCCCGCTAGGGCTGGTACTACACCAACCTACTGGGTGTACGCGATGACAGTGCATCGCACGCCGTGCTCTGCTAGAGCCGGCATCACTGCAACACACACGATGCTGTCCGCGATGTAACTACGGTACATCCCACACCATGGCCCTCTAGGGCGGGCACCATACAGTGACATCCCAATGTCACTACATTACCCCCCCCCCCTCCTTCGTAGCACTCAGCCGTCCAGGCTGTCAACTCCCCCTTCAAAACGACCAAGTTTGTAAAAGGCGATAAAAACGCAATGTGTGCCTCAACAACAAGAACAACAATAAATACCCCAACCCACCTGTACAAAAATTACAGTATCCACAAATGTACAAAACCAACAGAGAGAAAAGTGTATACCCAGACGAAACCACAACACCTCCCACCTTCACCGTGTCACGACGCTCGTGAGCTCAACAGCGGCCAGGATCAGCCAATAACCGCCACGACTCAACGAGCGCGACAAGCAACTGACAGTGTGGGAGCGTGTGTGCACGGGGATCACGGAAACGAGTCTTTGAGCGAGTCTGTGATGCCGGACCCCCAGGGGAGGTGGGCCCGCTCATCCTGGAGGTCCCGGGGGGAATGTGCAATTGTTCCGTCAAAACCGGCTCCTCACGGAGACTAGTCGGCCGGGTCGACTGGTCCTCTGCGCCCGAAGCCTGCAAAGCCGGCATCACTCTGTAACACGCGTTGCTGTCCGCGATGCAAGTCCATCGCGTGCCATGGCCCTCTAGGGCCGGCACCATACAGTGACATCCCCAATGTCACTACAGATACGCAGCTTATTAATTATTACTACCACCCTACCCGAGCCTCGACGTTTCTTTTTAGGAGGGTCATGCCAGGTTTGTCACAGTCTGGGGCAATGAAGCTATGCTTATTCCCAATTGAGTAAGTTGCAGGTAATTCCTCAGCATTGGGATGTTTGGCCAATACGAGTTACATTGTGTGGGTTTTTCAGCTATGGGCAGAAATCGGAAGACCCGGAAGAAACCCATGCAGAATAGGGGGAGAGAACAGAGAAACTCCGCAGAGAAAGAGCGAGTCGAACCTTCCGTGGAGAGGCTTACAGGTCAGCAGCAGCATCGTATAGACCACTCGATAATTGACGGGTAGGTCATTACATCATAACAAAATGTCGCTACAATACGTGAGATCTTTTTGTTACTTGAAGCCCTTCAATGTGACCACGTCTCAAGATGCGCTGGGCTTGAATGTGGAATAACGTGTAGCGAAAAGGAGCGATTTTAATCGCATTGCGGTACATTCTATTACCAAGCGCACGTTGTGGTGATGTGTGCGCATTGTACGCCGCCACGTGGCGCAAGGCGGGAATGGACCGTGCTGACATGAGCGGAATGCTAATAATTTGCTATGATGAAATAATTTCGGAGCAAAAAGTAGCTTCTTGAATTCAAGTATTGTATGTAAAGTTGTTTAGAATGTCATAACATCTCGGGTATTCTTTATTGTGATACCAATAAAATAGTGGTTGCGTCCCATAGCGTAGATATACACTGCCATGACTCCCATAAGCCTTTGCGCCGGTTTGTAATAATTGTTATGCTCGGTTCTCGCACCAAAAATAATATATTTTAAGTAATCTATTAATGATATTTACGATATTTATATACATGGCATATGGTTATGTTACATGTGAGATAGCTTTTTTGTGATAATCATGGTTTCAACCCATAGCGTAGAGGGAAGATGTGTGGGTATGTGTACCCCACCACCGACGGCTTTTAGTTATCGCTTCTCGGCCTTTTGGCTAAGATCAAGTGTAGTATCTGTTCTTATCAGTTTAATATCTGATACGTACCACATTGTGGTACCTTATATTAAATTGATTTTTGGGACAGGGAGATGGAATAGGGGCTTGCTCCGTCCACTCCGCGCATCAACCCGGTATTGCAGTATCTCCGGGAATGGTGCACCTCCCCGCTTGGGGAGGGAGAACGTTAACGAATGACAGAAGCGGTAAGCTTTGTGTGTGAGCATTCAGTTCGCGACTGGTGGCAAGTCACCACGACCGGTATAACATATTGTTACCCGGTGTCTCGTCCGTGACCTCATTCAATATTAGCGCGAACATGAGGCGCATTGCATGTGGAGAGAGAACACACCTAGGATGAGTGCACCACCCTGTCCTGTTTGTATTGCACCTGGATCACGTGTACCATCTGTAACGCCGGTTTGGTCTTTCCTGTCTCACCTCATGCGATTGTCCTCCAACTCTTTCGGTTGTCATGTGTGATGCCGCAGCAGCGAAACCATTCTGCCGGCGCCCCACCTACGACCCCACCACCACCAAGCGACGGGGCCGACGCTGCTCTTCCCTCACAACCCCCCGCATGAACACACACCCCACATAGGGCCCCGAGGGGAGGTCACCTGGCCGACAGATTTTCACCCAGAAGCCCTCTCACGGGACTAATCTTCACGGTTTCCTGCGGCCAGGGAATTGGGCGATCTCCCCCGAGGCGAACTCGCACCGTGGCGCTGTGACTTGGGTTGTAATTACATGGTCACGACGGGGCTGCCCAGCCACCGCGGGTAGAAAGCACACACACCACACACGGCTCGGCAGGCAGGTAGAGGGCGGAGCCACGAACGGCGGGAAAACAGGGCAGCCCCTCTGATTGGTCAGGAGCTTAGCGGCAAACCTAGATGCGGACGTCGCTGGAAGCAACGGTCGGTGGCGGGAAACCCAAGCGAATTTGATTGGCCGGGAAGGCCAGGCAGCCGTGTGCCAGCCCCGAGCCGTGCCCCACAAGCAGGACTCGCGGACTCGAGGCACTGCGGCGCGAGGAGAGGAGCCGGAGGGCGGCAGCCCTTCTCCCGCGAACGAGGAGTTCAGCAGCAGCGGTTCTCACACGAGTGCGGGATCCGGAGACGGCGGCCACCCTTTGGCTGGCCCCCTGCCGGTGGAGGACCAGGGGGCCAGCGGCCTCAACAAGGACCCGTGAGCCAGCAGCCTCAACACATGTCCCGTTGGCGCCATTAGCCTGTGGGATTTTTTAAAATCAAAGATTGGCATACGAGAGAGTCCGTGAATATACACCTCTAGTTTAATATACAAATAGCTACGCGTATGTAGTATAGCGCAAGGCCGTAATTATAATATATATTTGGGGGGACACATCCCCCTCCCCCCCAGTATTCAAATATGCGCAAAATGTGCCCCCCAATATATTGCTATAAAATAGATTTCTGTTTAAATGATTCTGGTCATGGTTGTACTCTATTAATCCCTCATCTCTGCCATTACATACAATGAAACAAGAACGTAATGCAATACACTATTAGACATTGTAGAAAATAAATACAAATTCAATCCTATGTGTTAGTGATTTTTTAATATTTTAGGCAGGAAATTCGTTTTCAAATTTCGATTTTATTTTTATGGTGGGGAACCCCCAGACCCCCTGGAAGATTTGGTCCCCCCAATGTTGACTCCATGGCTACGGCCTTGGTATAGCGAAAATAAATCACAATTACATACGATTTGCATCTTCGAAGCTTTTAAGTGTGGCCGCATCGCAAGATGTTTTATTTGACCGTAAATCGGATAATTTATGAAAAGATCGATGTGTAACTTAGTCCAGCACGTATCACGCCCACGGGTGTGTACAGCAACGCCGCCACGTGGTGCAAGGCGGTACAGACTAATGCCAATGAGCGTTTGCGCGGGGTGTAATATATTTTCGGTATAAAAATCAGATGTCCGAATTTAAATGTATAGTATAATGTAAAGCTGTATATAATGTTTTAAAACCACAATTAAGATTGTGTTACATGTAATGTATCCGTTTTGAATTCATCATGATAAGACCCATAGATTACTTTAGGCAAGTAATTGCGCGGGATTCTATCAATATGCTGCACTGTACTTATTATCAAACACGTGTAGTGTAGGTAGGATAATTCATGAAAATATAAAGCGCTGAGATTAATTATTTTGAACATGAGAATCGATGACAAACATCAGTCTATTCACACTCACGTGGGTAACACGCCACCAGGTGGCGCAAGGCGATATGGCCGTAATGACATAATTCCCATAGGCCATTGCGCGGGATTCTATAACAACAACATTCTTTTATATTTTTCATGCAAACAAATTTCCAGTCCCAAAATTTTACATCAAGTTATTTACAATGTTTAATTGTTCCGCGTATTGGCTGTATTACATGTGACGATAGCTGTTTTCTGATAATCACGGTTTGACCCCATAGCGTAGAGAAAGTGTGTGTGGGTATATGTACCCCACCACCGACAGCTTTTAGTTATCGCTTCTCGGCCTTTTGGCTAAGATCAAGTGTAGTATCTGTTCTTATCAGTTTAATATCTGATACGTACCACATTGTGGTACCTTATATTAAATTGATTTTTGGGACAGGGAGATGGAATAGGGGCTTGCTCCGTCCACTCCGCGCATCAACCCGGTATTGCAGTACCTCCGGGAATGGTGCACCTCCCCGTTTGGGGAGGGAAAATGTGAAGCAAATGATAGAGGTGTGTGCTACTAGTTTTGCACAGAGGATGCAGGCCTTACTGATGTTGAGACAGAAAAAGAATGTATCCTGTTTGTATTGTGTCTGAATGACTTGTCGCGCCAGTCTGGCCTCAACCCCATGGATTTTCCACGTTTGTCCTTGTACTGTCTTGACTTCACTGTGACCGTTTTCGGTAGCCTGTGGAATGTGCATCAAAGAAGCTTTGTGTGTGAGCATTCAGTTCGCAAGTCACCACGCCCGGTATAGCACATGGTTACCCGGTGTCTCGTCCGTGACCTCATTCAATGTTAGCATGAACGCATTGCATGTGGAGAGAGAACACACCTAGGATGAGTGCACCCACTATTTTGTCCTGTTTGTGTTGCGTTTGAATCACGTGTGCCATCTGTAGCGCCGGGTTTGGTTTCTCCTGTCTCATCTCATGCGATTGTCCTCCTTTGTGCTGTCTGACTCCATTAAACTCTTTCGGTTGTCATGTCCCGTTGGCGCCATTAGCCTGTGGGATTTTTTTTATTATCAAAGACTGGCATACGAGAGAGTCCGTGAGTATACGCCTCGAGTTTAATATACAAATCGCTACGCGCTTACATATGTAGTGGGTCAGAAACCAGGGAAGACACCAATTGAGCCACACAATATTTATTAACACTCTTGCTACAGGGTCCCTAACACAAAAGGGTAGCGGCCCCTTTATCCGATACCTGGGGAGGTATGGCCTCCGGGCTGCACGGGCCCAACACTGGGACCCTGCTAATTTCCCATCCTCCGGCTGGGACATAGGGGAGGCGAGGCTGAGTCGACCGTGCCAGGGTCTTCGGGTCCTGACCACTGGCCTCACTGAGCTCCGGCCCTTAGAAGGACGACGGAGCTTGGTGTCCAGGGTCCTATCTTCAGCCCAGGTTTTCGGAGTGGAGGTGACTGACTCTATCGTTCAGAGGTTCGACTTGTATACAGGTCTGGGGCTTGCTCCGCCCCGGCCCCGCCTTCCTTCCAGAACCTTCCACCAGGTCCTGGAAGGGTGACGTCATCCCCCAATCCCCCTGCCCGGGGTTTGTGGATTGTGTCCCAGGATCCGTTATCCCCGAGATCACCGTTGGCCCCTTTGGCCATAGCCCCTTAACATCGGCGTACCCACTCTTCCGCCCCCTGTTGACCCAATAGTGATGCTACCCACTTACAACATGGGGAGTGCGGATACGCATTCCTGCGGAGGGAGCTGGTAGGAACGTTGGGTTGCTCGGTCAATGGCCAGGGTCAACGGCGGCGTGGTGTATTCCGCAAATATGCCCGACTGTGAGGGCGGGCACAAGCCGGCGTGAGTAGGTTAAACGTTGAGTTTTATAAGGGCACCACGGGGTGACCAGCCCCACCCCACCCAGCCCCACCCCTCCCACCCCCCACTCAGTCCAACCCTCCCCACCCAGCCCCTCCCCACCCTCCCCTCCACCCAGCCCCACCCCTCCCATTTTTGGATTCACGACGGACGGACACAATAATCCCATGTGGGCTGGTGGAACCAGGTGGTTCCTTCCAGTATAACACCTCTACACATATATAGGATAGCGACACACAAGGTTGAGGAAAATAAGTCACAATTACATACGATTTGCATTTTCGAAGCTTTTAAATGTGACCACATCGCAATATGTTTTACTTGACCGTAAATCGGATAATTTATGAAAATATCGATTTATAACTCAGTCCAGGACTTATCACGCCACGGGTGTGTCCAGCAACGCCGCCACGTGGTGCAAGGCGGTACGGACTAATGCCAATGAGCGTTTGTGTGATGCCGCCGCCACGAAGCCGTTCGGCAGGCGCCCAAATCCCCGACCTCGCCACCACCAAGCAACGGAGCCAACTGTGGTGCCACAGCGACGGGGCCGCTCTGCCGAGCCAGGGAGCCGCCCGGCTTCCCCCACCGCACTGCCCCCAATCACCCGCCCCACATAAGCACACACCCGCACGCATCCCCCCCCCCCCCCCCCCCCCCCCCCCATAGAGCTGGAAGGGAAGGTTACCTGATCGACCGGTTTTTATCCGAGAGACCCTTATCGGGATTAATTCTCACGGTTTCCGGCGATCAGGGAATTGGATGACCTCCCCCGTGCTACGTGGTACCGCGGCGCTGCTGCCGGCCTTAATATGGTGTGGTCGCGGCGTGGGGCATTCGGCCACCGCGGTTGAGGCGCATTTCCCCCCACACACACCCTCACGAGTCGACGGGGCAAGCAGGGGAGGCACGGGACAGCATGAATAGCGGGGTCACAGGGGCTGTTGCGCATAGTCATGGAGGGTTGGGATAATTGCGCTTGAGCGCGCAAGCCCCATTGTTAGGAAGGGTAAGGGAGTAATTAGGATTTACGCCTTGCACGCAGCACACTGATTAGCATATCAACAGCGCCTGGGGACTGCCGTGCGCGGGCTTGGGGTGCACGAGCCCATTGTTCAGCGCAGCATCCCCTTTGGAGGTAGGGAGGATAAATAGAGGAGCGCAGAGGGGAAATCGCTCTCTTACTCCAGCGCCAGGCGACCAGACGCAGCTCGAGCCAGCGACCCGGACGTCCGTGCGACGCACCGAGGCACGCGGTTAACACAAGGATCAGCGGACCGCCGTGGACACTTAACAGTGAGTAAGAAGGGGAATTAGAATCATAGCCGATAAATAGGGAATAGGTACAGGTTTAGTGGAATAGGCCAGCCTCGTCGACTCACTGATTCAACATCAATTCGCAGGTGGCATATAATAAATCATTAATAGCGAAGCGTGGTCTCGCGTGATCTTGTCGTGCAGTGTGAGCGTGTGGGTGCGCTGTGTGCACAGTGATTCGCCACGTGAGTGAGCGCTGCGCAGAGCTGAGCGCGCGGGTTGCGTGTGGGAACGCGTGTGGTACTGTGTGTGCGTAAGCTCGCGGCGTGCGTAATCGGCGTACCCCAGGTGCGCGATTGTAACGTGAGCGGCCAGCGCGGCGCAGAGAAGCGCAAGAGTGAGTGCCGTACAGAGCTGTGTGTGTGGGTGTGCGCGTACGTAATTAACCATGCCTGCTACGCGGACCCGCGGTGGAGTGGAACCCTCGGGCGACGGCTCCCACACCATGGGTGAGGAACTTAGCAGCGGTTCGCTTAGCAGCGGGGGGGCGATTGATGATGCTAGCCCGGCCGTTAGCATTATCGAGGGAGGGATTTCGGGGGCTAGCGACCCCCACAAATTGGTGTCAGAAGTGGGATGGACCCCCGCGTTACCTCACGCTAAAATAAGACTAATATTTACCGGCCGGGGGGCCCCTTCGTGGAAGGCATTCGCCCGCAATCTCTTAGGGGCCAAGGAAATTAATGGATGGACGGACGCGCAGGCAGTACGTCAACTTAATATGAATCTTGATGGGCGGGCAGCCGATTTTGTAGAAGCGTTACCCGCGAGCGCACAGACACAGCTAGAGGAGCTGATGCACCGACTCGATCAGCGCTTTGGCACGCGTGACGAGGAGGAAGCAAAATCGGCCTTAGAGGCGCGCCGGCGCCAACCTGGCGAAGATCTACGTGATTACGCCGAGGATGTGCGCGAGTTAATAAAGATCGCACGCCCGGGGTACGCAACTGATGTTATTGAGGAACTGGCCGCCGAGAAAATCCAGCGGTACCTGTCTCGCACGGCGTGGTGGCAGCCAGACATGAGCTGCCCACGTCTTCCCTTTAACACCCTTGTCGAGCGCGCACGTAAGTGTGAAAGAATTCACAGCGAACGCGCGCAGCTCCGGGGGCTGGGACGAGAGCGCGCCATTGCGAGCCTGCTCTCGGAAGACGAGGAGGAGGAACAGGAGCTCGCGAGGAAGGTAAGGGGCCGGGAAAGAGAGCCTCCAGTGTCCCGCGAGACAACCCCGGGATGGGTTGCCGGTATACAAACGGGTATAAAGGATGTCTCCGGCCAGGTAAACCAGGTACGCGAGGACGCAAATAAAAATATGAAGACCCTCCAGTCTGAGATGGGTGAACTACGCTCGACAGTAGGGGGACTAGCCGGGAGGGTGTCCCAATTAGAGTCCGATTTGGGACAACTGCGTACTGGGAGAGGGAGCGGACAGGGGACCCGCTACGGAGCCGCCGCCCCTCCCCGGGCATGTTATATGTGCGATCGCCGAGGGCATCTAGTGAGGGACTGTCCTCAGGTCGCCCGAGCTAGACAAGAGCTAAGGTCAAACACTAAGGCCCCCTTAGAGAGGGGACCACCGGGGGGTGAAATCGACGTAGCCCCGACACAAACAAGGTGTGAGAATAATGGCGAGCGAGTGATCTCCACACAGGTTCCAGCAACAACGCCCACGGAAACGGTGACTCCTGGCGACTGGCTGCGGGAGCTGGTGGCGGGGATCACGGGGGCCACGTCGCTGGTGGAAGGGGAGGTTAACGGAGTGCGTACCCGAATCCTGCTGGACACGGGGGCGGTGGCCTCGCTCGTGAGCGCAGCACACTGCAGCGCGATCGGGGTCGACGTGCGTCACCTGCAGGCACCGGACCGCGCGCTGCACACGGCGAGCGGAGCCGGAATGGGGCTGCTGGGGAGAGCCACCCTAGAGGTCCGCATAGGCAGTCAGGTGTGCACCCAGGAGTTCTACGTGTCGAGTGCGTTGTGTCACGAGTGTATCGCAGGTACCGACCTCTTAGAACGGCTGGGACTCAACGTGCAACCCCGCCAGCGATGCGCCACCATGGAGAGCAACGGCGAGCGGATACCGTTCCTGGGACGAGAACCGACGCGCCGCCGCTTTGCACCTGTGGCCGCTATCCTGACGACGGCAGTCACCATCGGCCCGCTCACCGAGATGCTGGTGCCGGTGGCAACATCCCCCACCGACCCCGCGCTCCGACCATCAGGGGAGGTAATGCTAACTCCTCACCCGGAGTTGGCAAAACGGTATGGGGTTGTGGGATTCCGCCACGTTGGTAAACGCAGATGGGGAC